CCACACCATAGACATCGTGGAGGAGACATTACAGTCAGACAAGGTTTACAGCACAACAGCGCATCATGGCATATGCCACTCAAGATTTTTTTTTAACCTATAAAGATGTTAAAAAGCTGTATTTTACCCATTTTAAAGCTACTGTGCTAATTCTTGCACAAAGGAAGCATCTGAGTTAAATTTCATGGTGTCTTATAATACACTAGGACATAAACCAGAAAAATACATACAGGATGAAGTTTCCATAAAGCCCAAATGATCTGGCATATGAAATCGGAGAAGGAATTTAATCCACTCCTATAATGTGGTCAGGGCACATGACTTCCACCCTGTCTCCATAGCTGCCTGCTACAGCCACGGAGCCAGAATAGCAACCCCGGCTCCTCCAGGCCACTCGCATGGCTCGAGCGACCCATCACCTGGCCAGCTCTCGTGGCCAGGGCCGGCGATGTGGCAGGGCCCCCCCCGGCGCGCTTCGCCGGCGCGACCAGTTGAGTATATGCATCTTCCCCTTCTGAGTTATGTTCATTTTTAACTTGCCTGGAGAACCTCTTTCTGTTTGCCCCCAACGCTGGTACCTGCAGGAGACAACACGCCAAGGTGCAGATTGCCTTGGTTTCCTTCACCCTGCAAACTCCCTCCTCATGGAAAAACTATACTTTTCAAATTTGTAATAGATAAAGTATAAAGCTTCTTTTCTGATCAAACAGTTAAATTAAATTAGGAATTAATTTCTTTTAAATATGAAATAAATTAATCTCTACTTAAAAGAAGCCAATCTTACGAGGCAGGAATATTATTTCCTCATCCTTTTAGAGAGATAAGAAAAGACTTAGATGTTTTTTCCATTAAAATTTTTTAAATCAGGAACTATTACTGAGCCACTGTGACACATTTTTGTAGTTAAAACCACAGCATAACAAGGGTACAATGCACATGCGGAGCTGTAAGGTTTTTGGTCCTAATGCCTTTTCCTTGTCACATGACATTTTCAGGTTTAAGAGGAACTCACATAAGAATCTTGCATGCAATTCATTCTCCTCTTTTTTTTTCTTTCAAATGTAGTGTACTTTACAGTGAATTTTTCATATTTTTAAATAGAGAAGTAGCCATAATTTTGCTTTACATCCATTCACAGTGCAATTTGAAAGCTGTCCTCCTGTTTGTCAACTAGGAAAAGGTATGGTTATGTTCCTGTTCTCAAACGTTATTACTCAAAGCACAAAAGCGAGCACATGACTACACTGACCTTCATCTGTTCCCAAATTATGTCTTTTAAAAGCCTTGAATCTGTTTAAGGGGAGTTGCTGAAACCTGAAACGAACTTGGTCTATTGCTTTACAAAGTAGATGAATGCAAAACTTAAGTATTACATTTCAGGCTCTTACTGTACTAAATATAGCAAAAATAGGATGAGGAAGAACATAACTAGAACATGAGTCTGGTTTTAGAACTAATTTTTTGTTACAGGCATTCATGATTACTTTGTAATATTTGGTATGTTTCTATTTCTGACAGAAAATCAGCATGAGTTTGCAGAATAATGTCCTTCTGATCAGGTTTCTTATTATGAAAAACACTAACTTTAAAAAAAAAAAAAAACAAAAAACTCCTCCCCCAGCAAATCACACCACTACAAAGTGCTAACTAGTTCTGGTAGACGCAAGTCTAAGAAGTGTCTTGAAATACACCTTGTATTTAAATTTCCATCTCTTGCACTCCACTTGATTTTCATAAGGATACATTTGATCAGGAGCAAACACATCAGTTGAGTATTCAGAGGAAAAGTAAACTTAATGAGAAAAGCAAACAGTGCATAAAATAACTGCAGAAAGCATCTTTTGCTGTGTGTCCCTGCCTAACACAACAGGCCAGAATTATGTAACAGTTATGACCACCACCTCAATAAACTTGTTAATTAAAATTGAAAAGAGGTAATCAAGGATTTCTGGTTTTCTTAATTCATTTTTAGTAATCTTCACTGTTGTTTCTAACGATGCAATAAAACCTTGCAATGAGCTCTGATAATGTTCATCCTAGTGTTTCAAAGAAAGATTAACTTAAATGTAACCCCCCAGGACAAGAATAATAGTAAACCAATAGAAAAATGGCTCATAAGTTGACAGATTTCTTGACAAGTTTACAAATTTTTGACAGTTGTCAGATGGGAACTGTAACATTCAGTAAGTATTTAATCTACTTATAAAAATTACAGAAACCTTAAGGTTGTAAGAGAACTTAGATCCTGCTCAAAACAGGACTAACTTCTAAGGTCTGACTTCTTGTCCAGTCAAGGTTTGAATTTCTCTAAGGATAGAGGTTCCTCAACCTGTCTGAGTAAAGTGTTCCAGGAGTTAACTACCCTCAGTGGGTATTCCTTTGTGTCCTGTGGGTATGCCTTTGTGTCCTGGGTCTTCCTTCTGTTACGATTTAAACCTAAATACGGTAGGAAATGCTGCTGCTTTTGTCTATAGTGACACTCAATTGACTTTTGACAACATAGGTTTTGAAGGTTTGCCTTGGTAACAGTTTATTGTATGGCCAGTAGTAATTATGCAAGAAGTTGTTTTGGTTTTTTTCTTTAACTGGCATAGAGGGATTGAGAGCAAGCAATTATACATTCAGCAGAAATTTCAAAGTGATTAAAGCAGATGTGACTCCAGGACTGATACCATAGTTCTGAACAGTCTCGATCTCAAGAAAGCTCAGGAGCTACACACTCAAGGCCAGATCTGCAATAACTAAGAAGAAAAAAAAAGGAAAAAAAAAAAAGTATCTAATAAAAAAATCTGCTATTTCAGCTTGTGCTAGCGTTAACCCAGCTTGAGTACGGTTAAATGATCTTGTCCTACTGCAACAGTCTGAGTCCTCTATACTCTTCAGCAACTAGACAACGTGACTTTTCCATATAACTAGCATCACAGCTGTCCTATTAAAATACAGTAAAATGTAGGACTTCAATGCATTATAAGTAATTTTGAACCTGACTGATCTATCTGATAATAACTGGCTTCATATTCACAAATAGAATTTATGTAAACCCATGGATCTCCTATACAGAAAGTTTACATTATTACCTTTGGTGTCACAAGTTGCATTGAATTTGCTTGTGAAAGAGCGTTAGACATTCTACGGTTCAACAGTAGTCACTAATAAGTTAGGATGGCAGCTGTTGTACATCTGAAGCTAACAAATGTTATGTGACCAGAGATGACTGGCATGACATGTGGCTGTAGCCTTTTTATACAGTTATGTTCTCAACTATTTTAAAAATGTCCACAAAAGTCCTTCAGAAATACTGTTCTCAAGAAGTTCATGGAAAAATGATCCTTTAATATTTACCCCACTCAGTTAGCTGCATATACTCACACATTATCACAGAGTGATAATCAAAGTTTAAACAAAAATAATAATACAAATTATTCATCTGGAAGTCATGTTCTCAGCTCTGTGACTTGAAGCTGGATTCACTTGCTTGAAAGTACAGGGCATATATTAAATTTCCAACAATCAATTATTATTTCAGCCTTTGTATCTGTGATCATAAATCCAGGCACATGCCCATATGGATAGACAAAGTGCAAAGACAGAACTGTCTTCCAGGCAAATTCCAAAAACAAGCGTGACGTTCAGTATTGAAATATAACTCCCTTTTCTGTCCTCACTCTCAAGCAGTACAGGTATTTTTAATCTATTTAATATTTTCCCAGTCTTCTTGGAACTTCTACCTTTATAATGTTTATATTGATATAAAGTGTTGCTTTCAGTTTACGTACATGCCAGGTACTTACACACAAAAAGACTCACTGTAAGGATTTAGAGGGTTCCAACAGAGAAGAACTTCCAAAAATGTAAGTGATTTTACCTACTTATTTCCTGCACAAAAAGAATACATCTCACAACATGGTTCTGATTATAAGTCACAATTTCTTTTGCCTTTAGTGTTTTGCTAAATTTTTTACATTTAATGGATTTAGAAAAGCTTTTTCTAGGGAAATCTCACCTTTGCTTTTTATTTTTATCTTCTAGAACCTGAATTTTCAGTGACTAGATTAAATATTTATACTTTAAAAAAAGACATATGAATATTTTAGTATTTAATAACTCTGAGACTGGGTCTGTTTCATATGTACCCTATTTGTTATAATTTTGCATGAACTGATCTTTGACATCAGGAGTTAACTGCTTTTCTTCCCTGATCGGAGAAATACAATTGGAATGTCAGAACTAGTTTGCTGGCCATCCATTTCTTCCCGTGTGCTTCAGAGAGGGTTTTGGTGTACAGAATGGAGGGCCTGAAAGGTTTCAGGCATTTGTAAAGTTACTTGAATTAGGCGTTGCCTAGAACATCCTTACATATCAATGATGGAGGGCATTAAAATAAAAAAAGTTAGCATAATACTAGGATATAATACTCAAACATAAAACAGAATCTCTACCTTATTCCAAGTAATTGCCAGTGAAAAAAATCAACCAGTGTGACCATAACATTAGACTGCTTTTTAACAGTCTTTATATTAGGACAGTTCCTGGGATTGTATATTCACAGGTGAGAGAGTATGGTCACATACTTGGGACTAGTCCATGTAATGGCACAAATAACAACAGGGTTAAGTACGTGAGGGGCAGAGTCCTTCCTTCAGGTGATATATTAACATTCAAAAAAGAAAATTTCATACAAACCGAACTTTCAGTTCCATCTTTTACGTAATCATTAAAATGTACAATACATCATGTGCCCAAACTCTAATATTTGAAAAGTCAAGCACAGGTTAAACTTACTGAATACATAACAAAACACTAGGAGATTTTAAAATTTCTGCTAATTCTGTCTAAAATAGTAGACAACTATCTGACGTATTACACAAAAAGTGAGAATTGATGAGGAAGTTGGCGGAGAAACAAGTGACTCCACATCAACATGATTTGGCCAACGGAAGAGAATACAGTATGAAAAACAACATAAAAGCAAAAGGAAATAATGTGATTCCAACTGTTACCTGTCATGTGTCCGCATAAAATCCCAAAACTTCTTAGTGCCATTCTGGGGGAAAAAAAAATAAAAATCCATCAGTAAAATTAATTCCAAGTGAAAAGTGACTAATGAAATTTGACAAAATTTTAACAGGCATTTCTTTGAAAACTTGGTGTAGCTGGTTTTATTTACGAAACCATTATGCTGGATTTTAACAGTAAGTATTATAGCTGCTGAGAATTGTCTTAGGACAGTTCAAAATCTTAGATCCCCAGTATTATGCTGATAGCTAACGCAAGACTGTGGTAATCTTCAGGCTCAGTTTTGGCCATAGTATCAATTTCAGATGCCCAATGTAAGCATTCAGGTGCTAGGAAGCTATAAGCAGCTAAGTTTTAACCAGTAAAATAACCCATAGGTCTAAGTTCTCCCATGTCCAGAAATGTCTTTATCTTAGGCAGACAGTTCAGCTCTTATCTCCTAACTAAACTCATTTGGGATGCAGGAACAAGACATCCTTCCCTCTAACCCCTTACAAGGCTCAGCAGCTGTTGCTCTGCACTGCTTGTGGTGGTGAGGATACTGTCCAACAGCGGGCTTGAAGTCACAGCACTCACCCAAGAACTGGGAGACTTAAAATGGATTCTTTTCTCAGGTTGGGCCAATTTCTGTCCTCTGCTATCTTAAAAGAAGGACACCCACTACAGCACAGCTGAAACCCATCTCTAAAACAAGCATTTTTCCACAGTTACAATGAACACGTACACACTTGCTTATATTTATATTCTATCTTCTATAATCACCTATATCAATTCATACACACCAGTTAACAGAGACATATATAATTATTTACCCTGCTTATTAGAAAGGTGATGGTATTTTTCAACTGAAATACAACTCAAGAGATTTCACTCCTAGGTCAGTTTTAAGTCTATACAAGGAATCAGTATGCAACCAGAGGAAATTCTCTTGGTTGATACCTTTCTCTTATTAGCAAGGCAAAAACCAGACCTGCTGAAAACACACATACCTAAAATACGCTTAATGTGAAAAGCAGCACAAGCTCTCTATTATAAAGTATGGTTAAATGGATGATCAAACCCTGAGCAACTGGTTAATGATTTAAAGCAGGTAAATGTGAGCAATGAAAGAAGAATCAAGTTCAGTTGGTGAGTTAAGGTGTCAACCAATATAGACAGGCCCTTCAGCTCTATTACAGATGTCATGGCTACCAAGTACACAACAGCTGGTGGGGATTAGATAACAAGCACTTTGGTTTAGAGATTAAGCTCCTGAGCTTTATGAGTTTACCAAGCTTTTTGGAAGAGTGACTGTTTGCTTGCTAGCTGGGTTTTCCTTCATTCCCACAACTCTAATTATAAACAGTTGTTCACCTCAAGAGAAACTCTAGTCTACTCTTCCATTGGTGTCTGCACATACCTTCTGTTAGCATTGACAGGAATCAAATGCATGCATTAGAAGAGAAGCCGTGTTATTGTTTAAATGCAATATAATGTTGAAAGAGAAATAAAGACAGCAAATTCTCAGTGTGAACTGAAATATTAAAGCCATTGTTTATCAAGCTGATTGCATATCCAAACCGTTCCGCCTGGTGAGAGAGTGAGGAACAACATTGAAAGGACTATGACACAACACACAGTTGCAACACATGAAGGTAATAGCATAGGCTATGTTGTGTGGTAAGGTAATTTAAGGTATTGAATGTGTAAGGTCCACTTAATCCTTTTGTAGGTTTATTTCTTCCTGTAAGACATGTATTTCTGGGATTTTCTCTTGTTTGCAGATTGCTGTGCAACTTTCTATTTGACATGAATGAGTTGGGAAACTGTGGACCAAGGATAATGTCTTTTGCATGTACCTTCATATTGCTACTCCAGTTTCAACCTTCCCCTGCCCCAAATGGTAAGATGTGCTACCATCATCCATTCTCCCTTTGTAGCATCCACCTGGGAGAAATGCAGGTGTCCAGCTGATGGAGAAGAACAAAAAGCCTGAATCAAGGCTCTCCTTGCATTAATTTAGGCTATTAGTCCTGTGATACCACTTCCTAACGTATGATCCCAGCAACAATCTTCCTGGCTCTTTCCTCCTGCCGTTGTTTTGCAAATTATAGAACCTGATTACTTTGGAGCACTTAGGAAAGGGTTTCAAATAGCCAAGGAAAATTACACCCTAGAGAATGATCCTCATCCAGATGGGATCCATCAGATTTGAATGACCTCTTCTCAAGGATGAGCCTCATAGGCATTAACAGAATCTACCTCACAGAGGTGCACATAATTTTTAACAGAAAGTAAAAGAAGGAATTCAGTACCTAAAAAGATATTAATCAGAAAATAAAATCTATATTTTCTGTTTTCTAAGTGGCTGAGCAGCACATAAAGCACTTTCTCTTGAACATGATTTGATTAGTTTAAGACCCAAATTCAAAACCAGCCACAGGCTAAATTAATTTGAGTCTGTCCATTCAAGATGTTGGTTATCATCATACACTCTGACTGGACAATGTTTGTTAAGCTATTTTCTGCCTATATTTGAGTAAAAAATTATTTCATATGACCAACCTGCACCTGTCCAAATAAATAAATCAATAAACAAATGACACATTCCAACATCTTATTGTTTACAGTGGCAGAAACTCAAATGAGCCCCATTCATGCCCTATTGTCCAAGTCAAATGTAATTTGAATCCAACTGTATGGAGTTGAGTTTCTATTGTACCCAATGCCTGGTTCTTTCCTAACAGACTAGTATGAAGGTTGCTAATTATTAATAGCATGTAAACGGTTACCAATGGTTCTTATGCCGCTTTACATACTTTACAGAACATTAATTCTACCCAGTTTCTGACCAAGTATATCAAGCTGTGTGTAGTATCTCTATCTTTAAGACAAAAATTTTAATTGCTGAAACCGATAAAGATTCATGCTTTTAAAAGCCAAGTAGCCATGATTACTTGTTAAACTGTTCCATTCTGTACATCCTGATCTTTGACAATGCTCTCCTACCACCACAGTTACAGATAGTTGGAAAGAATTAAAGGTATCAATGGTCAACATCACTCCCAAAAAAGAGACGTATCTTTGTGAAAGACAAAAGATCTCTCAAACCCTTAAGGGTCTTAATTTTAATAAACATAAATATTTACATTATTCTAAAACAGTCCATTCTCCAGTGTCTAATAAGGAACAATCAAGGTATCTCTCAATGAAGTGAGGGAAGTATAATTGATCGCTGGGAGATCCAAACACTGATGACAGGAAGGAGAAAGGAATATATTACTACATTTGAGAAAGATTTAAAAAATTATTCTTCAAATAGGAAATGTGTCCCATGATGTTTTATAAATAAAAATATGTCAGAAGTATTTTATATTAGTTTTTATTAGTTCAGAATAGCAGTTCTAATACTGCAACAACCTTGTATAACACATATTTGATTTGGTAAATCTTTAATCACAAAGTAATCACACTCTAGTTCTGTGCTCAGTGATCAGGTTTTGTGATGTTGCAATGCTGATCTGGGGCATATAGTATGTGTAAATTATAAAGCTGTATTCCAGGAGAGGCAGCACATGAGACAACTTTGTTTCATATTACACAGAAGACAGCTTACTTACATAAGCACAAATTGCGTAAGAAAGCCATATCAGGTCAGATGGGATGTCCATCTTGCTTGTCTCTTAACAGTGAAAGGAAAATTTAAGAACAGAGGACGCATACGACAGTGCTTCCCCAGAATACTCTTCCAAGCCTTTGACAAAAGGCAGCTGAAGCGTGTCAGAAGACAATCCCTCAAAAAGGCATCCAAATTAAACAGTGTCCTCCCTCCACCCAAAGGTATGCACAATTAGCCATTTCTATACTATGTGAATGTGCAATAGCATGTCACAAGTCCTGCTCATCTTGTTTATAAGACTGACTTGATAATGGCATGGACAACTCAGAATTACAACAGCATGCTACCAGCTTGACAGTCCGTACAAGGAGAACTTGATCCCTTTTAGTTCAAGTGATTCCAGGACAACCATGAACTGCAGAGAGCTCTCTGCTAGACAGGTGTTGACAGTGGATGCAAGTTCAGCAGATGTGACTCTGACCAGTGGAGAGCTGTTTATGATGCCACCCGTACTTGATCTCTACAATCTCTGTCCTCCTTCCATCCTTGAAATCATTCTCCTAAGACTTTCTGCACCTGCTCATTCCCGTAATTACAGGCAGGAGCCCGTTCACACTGTCTGTTATGGGCAAGTTCAACTTGTCTGCAGCCTATGATCAAAATACCATTCTTTTACTCACCTGCGCTCTGTCTCTGGCTAAAATGCCTTAGGAATCACTGCACCAGGGATATCTCTGTCTTCTGCATTCCTCTGCTACCTTAGGCAATATAATGTCTGAACAACATGGTCAAATTGCTGTCAGGATACCTACGCAAAGAATAACTTTCGCTTACTAGAGAAACTCACCTAAAACTAAGCCCAGGTTAGCCAACAAAGAAAATAAAAAGGACATTCTATGCTAATGATGTAGGAAGAAACATTCACTGGCACTAATCTTATGGTGATACGTGGTGTGCTCCACATGTGACAGACCCTGGACATGCGCTTAAACAAGTCACCTGGGAGTTTCCCTCTACTCTTCACTTGGGGCAGCTTGAATGCCTTGCTCCCTCTTTTCCCTGAGGGCAGCACCCATACACCGCCTGTCACCTGAGCAGCTCCTGAACCAGCTCACACAACAGCTAAAGGTGTCTCCACATGTACCAGTACTCAGCTCAGTGCTACACTGATACCATCCTGGGCCTTCAAAAAACCCCCAACCCAAACAAATCAAATGCTCCTCAGTTTGGTTCTGGTCTCTACTGTTGTGTACAGCCCTGCTGGGACTCACAACAATTTCTCTGTAGATGCAGCTTTTTCAGATGGAGGGAATAAGTACTGAAACACAATTTTAGAGAGACAGATATAGGCCTTTCCTCAAGGGCCAAGAATGGGACCTGTTTATAAATAATGAAAGTTAATTCCAGCTGTGGTGCCCCAGCTAAAAATA